CTCTGCCACTTCTCCATCGCTATCTACCTCTCAAGCCGGAGCTAATGTTCCAATTCCTTTTTACGTATAATTGAATCGCAACAAAAATGGCCCGCCTGTCAAAGCGGCTCCCGAATTTAATGCGAGCCCGTTACTTGCACCCGTGAGTTTCCGCCGGCACGAGGCGTCTCAACGGGCCACTGCGTGTTCCGCGTCCATTCGCCAGCGGGGGTGCGGCGCGTCGCGGTTCCCAACGGGCGCGCGTCGCAGTGTCCAGACAGCTGCGCGCCCGCCGCCCGCGCCGCCGTGGGAAAGCGCAGCGGCGGCCGGATGTAGCCGCATCGCGAACGTCCGCGGCGATTCCGCCCTGGCGACGCGGGGCGCCGCGACGCGCCGCGACGCAGCGGACGAATGGGAGAGGGCGCTGGCGCCGCCGCGCGGAACGAGCGTGCGATGCAGGCCGAGCGGCGAGCGAACGTCTGGCTCACGCTGGGCCACTTTGCGCGCGCCCCGGTGTCTTGCTAAAACGCGGGAATCGCCCGCCGAAAGGCATCGGGTCTTACGCGGCGGCCCCGGAGCCGATGTTGGCTGACATTCCGGTCGTCGGATGTGCCGGATTCTCGGATTATTTCAAATATGTGATGGTGGATGGAAATGGTCAAAACGAACATGAACGACCTCTTCCGACGACGTCCGAATACATCGGCTGTCGGACGAAGATCTGTGTCGTTTGGTTTTGTCCGTCCGACGACCGGAAGTTCTTCCTAAATCGGCACCACTGTATCCCTACATAATGCCCGGTTTACTTGGTACCATTTGATGGAGCTTTCGAGTTTTAGCGACAGTCAGACATGGGTGCTGTGGATCTGAAACCCAACAATTCGCTAAAACTCCGGAATGGTTCGGGAAAAGAAGAGTTTAAATCGGATCTTAAGTATCACTTGCCCCAAATAAATTAATTCAAAATTATGAGTGAGTGTTGATGGTTTAATGATGTTCTCGGAAGTAGAAAATGAAATATCAGGCGTAGTTCCACCACACATAGTTAATACAGCATTAAATAGCTATGGTGGGAAGATAATTTAGTATTTAAAGGCGTGAAAATATAATGAAATTAAGCCTGAGATTTCATTTTCTCTTTAAATATTAGGAATGGAACAATAAATGTTGCAGAGAGCAATAAGGGTTTGTAGACATTGAGTACTAATTTTCAAAGCCGACAATGGAAGTAGAAATTGGAGGTTAATGATCAATAATGTTAAAAAGCAAACGAGCATTAACAGTTTGGTTTGGGGAACTAGGAACACTTGAATTAAAAAATAAATAATATCGAAAACAACAAAAGTATAATTATAAAAAAACTAACGAAGAGGAAAAAGTTAACAACAAATCCTTGGACTTTACATACAGTTGCGTAACTGGACAATTTTTTAATCTCCATCCATGAGTTAAACGATATTTTGTTTCCACTGCTTTTAGTGCGAGGTAAAATGTCAATTGGGTTGCGAGGATGTAGAGTTAATGCTGCCAACTCCCAATTCGTTAAATGAAACATTAACATCCATTTCAATCGTAAATTCATTTTTAGCTGAAGTTTTGAACAAACCCTGTTATGAGCCATATAGGTCTGGAAACGCTTTAAATAAATTGTTATATATTTCTCTTCAGTTCAATACTTGACATCGTATTAATCCATTTTTACCTACCTGTAAGACGCTGTAGATAGTTCAAACTTTTACCTTATAATATTACAGAAATACAATTAGAAATTCTTATTGTTTTCCATCACATCCTAAAAGGGGTAACTATGCTCATTTCAAAATTTTGAGAGAAAAAATTGTGTAATGAACATTTAAAAAAAAGGAATCCAGATCAGCGTTAATTATAAAAATGTAAAATGCTGATAAACAGATTAATTCAGGCAAAGGAAATGTTAACTAGACCAAAAATTATCAATTTTCAATTATAATTTTCCTTTATACATGAAGTACAGAATGTTACTTATTGTGAAAACACAAATTGTGTTTTAAAATTTCGGAAACACAGAAACTTCTGATAATGTAATTTAATCAATATATCAGCACTATGTTTCTATATTTATTGTTCACTTCTAAAATGTTTCTGACCAAAGCAATGCGGCAGCGTTTTCTTGAGCGCGGGTGTTTCTGAGAAGACTATACTATTGCTGCATTTTGAGGCGGTGAATTACAATATATCAACAATACTGACAACTAGGAAGATAAAAAAGGCTTAATGCAATCAAAGATTTAAATTTAATATAATACGGAATAGTAGTTGCCTTGCAGAAATAGAAACTTCTTCATTTGAAACCAATGAATTTCCACGAAATCTTTCGGAGGAGGAAATATCCAGTATCTAATGTATAAAAAAGGGCCGTTATGTTAAACACCTGTAATGAAGTGAATGTCATATTAAGCTCGGGGAAATATGTTCATTTATCAAGGAAGGCTGTGAGATGGGTTCCGTTGTTTCACTCTTTCCTCTTGCATTCTTCACAACCTTCAGAAAACTGCCGGTGCAGTTGCCATAAAAACGTGTTACTACCTGTCGGGTCCTTTGTACTCCATTTCTTTCCCAGATGTTGTGGGGTGCGGCGGGTCATCCACCTTAGGAACCCTTTTTGTAATTTAGTGAAATGCCGGTTGAACCTCGTAGTGTTCCTCACTAAGGTCTGACACTCAAAAGCCTCGCTAGTCCGTTAGTAAATAACTAATAGTAAAGTTTAATGGAGTGATGATAAATGTTTTATATGCATTATCATCTTGGGAGAAGTTATTGGTAGCCACTCCCCCAGAGACTGCCTAGCAGCAGACACGCGAGAAGTAATCTTATATATTGATGGCACGGTAATTCGAAATGCTGGCCTCCATTACATGATCAACCTCCACAGTTAATGGCTCTGTCACTGAATTGGTCGAGGGAATTCTTTCTCTTTAAACATGCAAAGGATATTATGTTCTTTATTTAACTAGGGCATTAATTCGTTATTTTCAAAATACTTCGTATATTTGTCAGAATTATTGTTTAGAAACTTGTTTTTAGTTATTGAAGGTAATTATTTTTTTCAAAGGGGTTGAATCGGATCGGTGTAGAATCAAATATACTACAACACACCGCCACTACGAACGCGCAGCAAAAGGTAAACATTCAAGACTTACAGTGTAAACGTGTTTGAACGTTAGCATTAATTTAGACGTCCTACATTTTGATTATGTTGATTAGAAAAGGACATTCCGCTTAATTGTTAACCATTGGCCAAATTTCTTCAGTGAGGCCATAAAGAGACTCTGACACAATACAAAACACTTTGTTCAAAAAAATTCAGAATGGTAGAAATGTTGTTAAAAGATAAAATGAAGAAAAAAAACGATTTTTTAGTAGTGTTGGTAACATACGTTAATCCAAATCTTATTATACCTCTAAAGACAGGTAAACTTCATGATATTGATATTATAAACTATCTTGCAATCGTATCTAACATATCTATTTGCATCTCGGGAAACATTTTAGTATTGATAGGGTTGCAAAAGTGGATGGCCCACTTCACATTGCCTAATGGGCCACCTCACCAGGCCATATCTGCGGGCCGGCGGTGTGGCCCTCTTGTTGTTGAGTCACCCTGGAAAAGATGTGAGAGTAGACTCTCGGGCGCGATCGGCTTTAGTCTAGTGCAAGGTAGCACACGTTTCCCCGCAACCAATCTAGCCCGAGTCGCCCTAGATTAGAACAACGTATTCTGGATATTAAAAGCGTCTGATGTTTAGCTTCAATCGCATAGAACGCCAAAGAATCACAACTATTTTGCTCCTCCTGTTGCCGGTGCCCGACGCTTTCAGCGAAATTGCCCTCCCCGCCCCGCCCCATCGTGAGTGGGGGCGCTGAAACCGCGGCGTCCTGGGTTCCACAGCGGGGCTGCACCTCGGCGCGCGGGGCGCGGCGGCGGCCCCGCGGGGCACGTTTTATTAAACGATAAATCAGCGGGGCCGCCTCAGGAAGATTAAAGTTTTATGCAACTTGATACACATACTCGCAGCGCAGCTCGCGTCGTAAAGCTGCGCAGGTCGCCCTGCAGTTTACTGCTCGCCGATTTGCATTCATACATCACTGCCCGGCCGCGCGGCCGGCCGGCGGGCGGGGCACAAAAAACGTATTAACAATACTTGTTTCCATTATCCGCGCA